GCGTTGTAAAATAGTTTTCTTTTTAAAGCCATAAAATATAAAATTTAATTAAAGTACAATAACAAATATTCAATAATCCACTGACTTTTGCTGTATTTTTGTACATATTAAAATGCTCAGAAATTTTTAACGCTTTCAAATCTGGGGAAAATTTTATGTTTATTTAAATATAACTTAATAAAAAATGTTCCGAATAAACTAGAGATTTCACTTGCAAGTTGTTTTGACGTTCGAAATGTAAACTTAATCAAAAATCTTTGGCAAACACGGGAAATGGTAGCGGCTATTAATTACATTTCATGCCAACAATTAATTGCCTTAAATAGCCAAAATGAAAGGTTTTTAATTTAAGTGAGCAAAATTGTAGATATGCATGCCTTCGACCATTCACATGTACGTAAGTAAGTACGTAGTATGTATGTATTAAATTTGTACTACAAATTTGCCGTTGAATGTGCTACATCGATTACGGCGAATAGAAAGTAGGGAAAGGGGAAGAGTGTGTGTAACTCAATCAAAAAATTAATTTACATTTCAACTCAAATTACCGCATTAAAATCGAGCACTGTACAAACTAACATACATACATGCATACATTTCTATACACATTTCCACAAACACATATGTATGTAGTAAGTAGGTGCATGTGTGGTCTAAAGTAGTTCTCTAAGCTCACATATCGTACTAGCGCTCAGCACAGACCAGACCAAAAATTGCATTTAGTTAAACACATCAAAATGCAATTACTCAACACAACGTAATTATACATTTTTCAAAACATTAATTGGACCCACTGTGCGCCAGCCGAGTAATACACAGTACCTTGCCGCACCGCTTCAATTGACTAAATTGCACATGGTATGTATCATTTGCCTAGTATTTTTAATGAAATATGTAGTTCCATGGAAAAGGAAATCCATTTTTGAAATCCGTCGAAGTCAGCGTAATCCGCCTACTTGCCACCAACGATGAGTAAAGTGGGCAACAAATAGCACCCGACGCGACTTTGCCTCACCCGGCTACTCTGCCAACTAACTCTATATGAAGCACATATCATTAGAGCCAGCCTGACATGCGCTCTCCTAACTCACCTACTAACCTTTTTTTTGCCAGCCAGCTTGCAGTTAGGAAACTCTTTCAAATTCGAAGCGCTGCAGCAGCTAATGACTTCCTTGCATGTCACAGGATATTTTCCCTGGGTAAATAGCTAAGGAATGACTGTTAAAACTAGCTGCTTGCCACCCAACGATGCAAATGTGTGTGAACTTTTTGTTTTCTGACGAGGTCGTTTGTGGGTGAGCATTTAAAATAGCACTGTGCGCAGCGAAAAACAAGCGGCGTTTAAGAATTTTTATTGCGCCACATTGTAAATATGACGCGACTAAATGAATGCCGTTTGTTGCAATGCACAAATGTTCATATGAATATGTATTAAATAAAGTATACCCTGCTGGGAAGTTTTTGGGGAAAAGAATTTTTGATTCAGAAATATGTAGTACGTCTGTCAAAACTTCGAGTCACTAGCGATTAAGGCCATCTGAAGGACAGCTCGTGTCCACTAAATTTAAAAAATTTTAAAATTTAAGCAATTGCCGATTTGAGAAAAACAGGCTTGCAAAATAGCTAAATAACTCCGGCCTGACTCTAGCAGTACGAAGGCATTAGACCCGCTTAACAGATCCGTTACGGGGCAGACACCTAGCAACACTAGTAACAAACGTTTCATAAAAGATGCGGATTCATTGCTGAATCAAGGTGATTCGACAAAGCAGCGTAGGATCTTGTTTGATTGGTTTAAGTGGATTGTCATCTGGTGCAAGTTTACTATTTTCTTTCCACAAATCGTGCAACCTACAACCATTTGGCGGCATAAATGAATTTCAGTACGTTATACAGAGATCGGCAGCCAAAATACACTCACAAATATTCTAAAGGAATGGTTTGCCGAGTGTCTTTAGCCTCATTCACAGCAAGTGTTCGACTGTCTGTTTTGATTCCGGATCATCGCAACTGCGACCGAACCTATTGAAGGGCAATCCAATCCTTTCGCCAGGTACCTCAACGGACCAATGCCCTGCGCAAACTGCATTAAGTTTATAGGTGTCTTTTTTGCTCAGTACTATTTTACGGTTCCACCTCTGCTTGGCCTTCGAGTGATATATTTCGGCAACCCATGTCCACCGCGTGGGACATATTCATTGATCATAAATAGAGGCTAGCTTTCGCCTACAGTCATCCACTAATAATAACTTCATTTTATATTGCTCAATGAAAACACTGCACCAAGCCGGCATTACATATTTGACCCGTCCGCAAAGATAGCTGAGTTCTACAAGAACTGGACCTTTCCTTGAGTCTAGTCACTGCGGCTTGGGAAGTTCGCGCGGGGTTCGTGGTGAACCCAAGTGTTCGAGGGGATATTGGCAGCGCTTTAATTTCAGGCACTAATGCTTCAAGGATAGAACCGTGTACAAACGGTCTTTCTTTTCGGGGCCCCAAGGTACGCAGTCTGATGGCGGTGTTAACAGCTGAGTTTTCGATAAAGATATCAATTGGCAATAAATCAAAAAGGACGGCTAAATCATGCTTCGGACAGGATCTCATTGCACCTGTTACGCCAGTAGCTGCTGCCTTTCAATTCCGCTTAGTTTTTTAGCCACGTAATCCCTACCGGCTGTCCACTAGACAAGCGCGCCATAAGAGAGTATGGGACATTCTCATAGAGAGTCACCGATGTCTTTCTTGCACGCATGGAATGTACATAAACAAAACATATTCCACGAATAGTGCATAAAAATGGCCCCAGTTGTATACGGAACAGATTCTAGGAAACACTGCAACCAACCAACCGGGTGGTTCCTGCTATATGAAATGGTCCTTGAGTACGTGGAGAAATTTGACTGCTTTAGTTAGCGTAAAAAGATCCAGTGGGCGTGGGTACCAGGCCACAAGGAAGTAGAGGGATTAATATCAAGAGAGGCGGCAATTGTCACTTCACAATTGGATCCGATCGTTCGCTGGGTATATGCCCCTGATACGATTAAGGAAGAAATCAGGAAAGGGAGAAAAGCCTTGAGTGGTTTTTTAATTGGCCCAGTTTAGTAGGACAGCGACAGGCTAGGATTCTACTGGGGGGATATATAGGTCGTGGTGCAAACTTCGTTTCCTAAATCTATCACCAAGTGGATTTTCCTACCGGGTATAAAGTAGAAACCATAATACAAGCTAATCACTTGGGTGGTAATGCTGATATATGACCATTTCAACGAATCGTTTGTAGTTGGTCGGGGGGTATGTCGTAGTCGTTGATTTCTTGATATTGCGCAACATATGATTAGTGAAAGGCTATGTTTGAGGGTGGCTGAGGTTGCTGAGGTTATATTGAAGGTGGTCAAACCAGTGTGTGAGTTTCGAAATAGGATGTCTATGGGAAATACCTAATTAAATTGTAATTACCCGTTTTACGCTGAGTGCTCAGTCAAATTGAAATTTGAAGTTATACAATTACCTTCGAACGAATGAACGTTAATGGACTTTGAAGGATAATCGATTTGTGGAGAAAAGAAACAATCATTTGTCATTCATGTTAATTCGGTTGTCTTGGCTTTATTGTGGTGAGATAAGCATAAATATAATAGTAACTTTTTCATGCGCTCGTATTAGTCGGAAAGCTCTCACAGGCGTTTTCAAGGAGGTAAATATGTATTAATATTGACAAATGAATATGATTAAAGGACAATTTTGTCAGACTAAATTACAAAGAAAGAACCAAAGATATTACTTGGCTGAATATAAAATCAATATTGTATATTTTTCGAGCTCAAGGTCACATGTTTGGTCGAGCAAATATAGCCAGAAGTTGTTTAGGATGACTGAAGTCGAAATATCCACAAATAATGATGGCTGCTTCTGGAAGATCACCTAAACATTATTGTCTTCCACGCAGGTTTTATAATATGAGGTTGGGTTACCTGACCGCTTGGAGTTCAGAAGACGATGGTCAGATAAGCATTACACTAGTAGTCAGAGCTGTAATTTGTATACCTTCAAAAGCTCCGTTGATCGCCCCGGTCTAATTGAGTGATACGTCTAATTGATATATACGTAACTACATTATAGACTCCCAGAATACACCTCTAATAATAAAGGGAATAATTTACTTCTAGCCAGCATCGATGTGCAGGAAGCGACTCCAGCCGAGATGAGTTCAACTCTTCTTATAATTAAGGATTTCCAGTAGTTAAAAATAAACCAGTGTCTTTAATCCTAACTACAAGCGGACGGCGGAGGTACAACCTCCAACCTTTTTTATTTTGCTCTTAAGATGGCGCCTTTTGCAAGGTCGGGCATGCTTTTGCTTCTGATCAGGGATGGCAAGATGTATTAAGTTTGAACAGCTCAGTCGATAGATTTGGCGTTTTCACCTCTGACGATTGCTGTTTCTGCTCCTGTTTATTCATAGTTTGCTGCCTTGGAGGCACAAAAGTGGATTTCGAGCAGCACGGTCATCAATGATTTTGGGCTTTATAAGAGAAAGTGATACTGCAAGGACATAATCTCAATTATTCCCAGCAGGACTTCTTACAACTAGGGGCGCCGTTATATGACTAGCTAACGTAGTACCATTCATTTCCAAATCGCAGTACAGATGACATTCGGAATTACGGTTTTTTTCGAGCTGTCCTCACCTTATTCAGAAAAAGCAGCGGTAGCTCTCTCAGGATGTGATTCTTCGCCACGTATGGTCGGTCTTGAGCTATCCGCTATGTTATCAACAATTTAGTTTTCGAATCAAGAGTACTCTCTTTTGTGCCTACACTGAACTAGTTAGACTCTTTGAAAGCTTTTTCTTAAAACTTCTTTTTCGCTAGTACATGTAGCGGCGATTCGATCAATTAAAAGACCTAAAATTGTATCCCCTCTAAAATAAATCAGCGCCTTGCAAATATTTACTTTATTTCCTTACTAACTATACTAAAAATGTCCATTCTCATTCACAGCCAACGATGACGCCACCGATCTCCGTTGCAACATGTCCCTGGCGCATCTGCGCAACATGGATAATCACATGGCATCAATGCTGCAGCAGTCAACACACCACAAGCATGTCACATTCCCCAATATGCAATCGCCACCAAGCGCACATCATCATCAACATGCTGTCGCCTTGCATCTAGGTACGCCCCCACCGCCGCCTCAACACTCTGCGTCGCATCATCCGCACCAAGCACTCAACTATCACAATGCCTTGATGAGCTTTCCACATCAAAATATCACCTCTAGTGGTGGCGGCGGTGGCGCCAATAGTCATTTAAACTACCCACCACTGGAGTCCGGCAGCACCGATTCGGGCAGCACACGCACCAGTCCGTCCATGAGTAGCGGTGATTATCTCAATTCGATGCATCAGATGGTCGAGGCGAGTCATCTGCAAGCAGCGCTGCAACACCATCCGTCACACCCGCATCATCAACCATCAACGGGACCGCCTCCGCCGCCACATTACAGTCACCAACAGCATTTGGCCGCTTTGGCAGCACACGCTCAAGCGCAGTCGCAGTCGCAACAGGAACAGAAATTTGCTAAATCATCGTCGTCACCAACGACATTTGCCAATCAGTCATACTTTAGTCTCGCCAATGGCTCCGGCGCACTTTGCAGTGGAGGTGCTGTTGCCGGCACGGCTATTGGTAGCAATCACGCCAACCTACTTGATTACGATGAGCACTCAATGTCTTCAATTTCGGCGAGTGGCGAGATCGATGCAGGCGATGATGAGGATATGAAGGACGGGCAAGGCGACATATCCGGACCTATTGATGTAACTTCGCCGCAGTCGCCTACAAATTTATCACATTCGCCGTCCTCGAATTATAACAATGCAGCATCATCTGCTTGTTCAATGCAATTTGGTGGATTGAAACGTAAATCCACCGTCTCCTACTGTGATAACAACGTGGATGCCGCCGAAGCGAACGACTCAAAATTAGCCAACGGAAGTGCAAGAGAAAATTACGCCATGAAAACTTTCGATGGTATACGTGCGCGTACATTCGAAGAGGTGCAACAGCAATCATTAAATGGCAATTGTAACACCATGGAACAACAACAACAGCAACATCAGCATGGACAACAATATCAGCACCAGCAACAACAACTACAACAGCAGCAGTTTCAGCAGCGGCATATGGATGACTGTCGTTTGATCAGTGGCAGCGGGTCAGGCGGAGACGGACAGGATCGCCTAAATGATGCCGACAGTGTGGTGAACGGGAGCTGCGCATCCAGCGAAGACTTGAATCAGACAAACTCCAGCGAGCAAGGCGAGAAGATCACATCCGGCAGTGATGATGAAGGTAAGTAAGTATGGCAATAAATTACGCAGGACCACAAACACCTCGAACCCTGCAAAGCAAAAGGGACTATGTTTAGCTTATTTTTTTGGCGGTGCTGAATACAAAGCCGGTGTTCGTTTCAATCCATCAGGTCAGGGTCATGTTCAAACATACAGAATCCGTGGCGGACTATAATAGGTACATATAGATTTTCGCGGTCGCTGAATATGAATTCGGAGTCCGTTTAATCTATACAAATCACCCGATTCGGATTAAGCGAAACTTAATTCGACCTAGAATTGCCCTTGATCCTGCCACCACACATAGTTCCTTTTGTGTTGCCTCGTGGGTACAGGTGTTTATGGTCTTGTGTTATTCGAGTATCTGTTTAGCTTCGATCTCACTGGGTACAAAAAGCATGCATTTTATGAAGTAAGTTGTAAAGTATGCTTCAAATCGTCATGAAGCGCCAACTTATACAGGTATCTAACTATAATTCTCAACCTGTTTATACGAAACGAACTGGCTCGTGTCCTTGGTTCCTTTAAGTTATAACAAACTCTTTATTTTTTTAAATTTTTTTTTTACAGCTCAAGATGACAATTGTTCAAAGAAGAAACACCGTCGCAATCGCACAACATTCACAACATATCAGCTGCATGAATTGGAACGTGCATTTGAAAAGTCACACTACCCAGATGTTTATTCACGTGAGGAACTGGCCATGAAAGTCAATTTGCCGGAAGTTAGAGTACAGGTGAGTTTTATTTGGAATTTATATGAAATAAGTTCGTATATCGTAAAGAAGCGGCGCTAGGTCTCTTTTTTCTGCTTGGCGACCGCTGTAACATTCTGAAAGATTTTCTCCGAGCCAAATAAAGCACGTCAGTCGTTTCTATCTCGTACCAACTAATAAAGCCAATTGAAATAAAGGTATTTCTCTACAGTCGTCAGGCATAAATTTGTCTAACCATTATTGATGCATGCACTCCGTACTGAAATACATAGTTCAGCTAGCAGGCCATCAATTCCAGGAATTTGATTTTTTTTTCAGCCGCGAAATCGCTATTCGTACTTCGTCATAGTATGGGGGGTTGCACAACAATTCCGTCGTCATCTACTGAAGGCTCGGGTTCGTATTCTTTACTAATTTCAGTGCTGCTACCATTAAATGCGAGTGGTTCTTTCAGGGTCCCTAAAATTCAATTATTTCTTCGGCAGCGGTATGTAGTGAGTGGGAAATGTGGTTCCACTGGTCGCATATGTCTGTTTGTTTAAGAGTGCTCTCAGAGAACAGGTGCCGGATACGAGAGCCGGGTATATTTGCGTGTGCGTATCTTAGCTGCAAAAAATTCAGATCTTTGTCGATGCATGGTTCTCGGAGTGTACGTTAGTCTAAAAACCACTGACAACATACCTTTCGCCTTTCAGATATTGCCGAGCGCCTTAAAACATGTTCCGGTCGTACAGCATCCAATCTCTTCTTCATAAGTTAGTAATTTTTATGAAGTTTAAGAGAATACTTGGACTTGGAATGCCAGTCAGTTTTAGGTTTTGGAAAGTTAAAAGGAACAAGAACTGCCTCTACGATTAAAATTTAAAGATTGCATGACCGTAGAAATCTTTTTTGCCTGTAAAACTAAAGTTTGTTTTTGCAAGGACGGATAGACACTTCGTCTTTTTGAACACAGCTGTTTTTAACCAACTAAATCGCCCAGTTTTATAAAAGGTAACTACATAGTTATTTATGTGATTTTAGCTTTAACATGTGTCCATGTATGCACATTAAGATGGTTCCAAAATATCACCTCGCAGAAATCAACTTTTTGGAATTTTCAGAAATTTAGAAAATGGAGCCCCATATTTTTTTATAGCAATTCTACGAAATATGTGTGTATTTTCTCAAATACATAAAATACATACACAGAGAAAAAACGCGTTGTAATATTAAGAAAAATATTATGAATTCACTGAGGGGAATAACGCGTAGTAAAAATGATTTTATTTTTATTTTATTATCGTTTTAAAATGTTCGTATTTGAAAATAATACTTTGATACCACGCACGCGTGCTGTGGTATTGATTCCAACTCAACATTTGAGAGCTGGCTGTAGCTGAATGCGCAAGGTGCTTGCCACAATTTGTTAATTTCCAGAGGGTCAGGGTTCAAATCCCATTGCAGGCAGCATGGAAACTAAATTTTGTATTTTTTGTTTTATTTATCTTAATTATCAAAAAGCATCCGTGAAGTGCAAAATGCCCCATTTTAATAATAAAATTTATTTCTATTAGTGTACGTATATGGATAATTCAAATCTCGGCGGCACGGCTAAACAGTACTCGATATAAAAGTAAAAAATGCGGGCCTTCTTGTTTTCGATTTTCTTCAGTTATGGGTTGGTTGTGAAAAAGTAGACCACCCTAATGGACGTACATACGTACTTATGTATATGGGGCGTTCCATACCAAAGCGGACAGGGTTCACACTTAATGTGTTAATTTCTTTAAATTTTCTAGGGTTGATGCATAAACATAAATAATAAATAAATATTAAATTCGAGCTTGATTAATACATTTTTAGAAAAAAGTGCAAAAAGCATAAAGACTATTAAAAATTTAAGGCGGGTTTGCAATCGCTTAAAACTTAATATATTAAAATTTAAAGGCTACAAAACTGTATACTCTAAAAAATTCTAAAAACAATTTAAAAAATTTGTAAATTTGTAATGTACTCATTTTACTCAACTTCAGTGTAAAATAAATTCATAACTCAAATTATTGTAGAGTGCGTCCCATAATAAATATTGCGCAATACTCAGATCTACCATTGTGATTTTTTTCAATTTTTTTTTTTTGAGGTGGGATATTTTTAAAAACTAATTTTTTTTTTATCAAAAAATGTGTATGTGAAAAATTTGTCAACCAAAAATTTTTATTTTTTTATTTTTTTTCATAGAAAAATTTTCTGTGTTTTTCCTCGCCCCGTTCTCGAGATATCTGGAAAACTATTAAATCGATTTGTTATGGTTTTTGTGCTGTAAAGTTTTTAAAAATGTTTTAATCAAGCTCAAATTTCATATTTATTTATTATTTATGTTTATGCATCAACCCTAAAAATTTGAAACAAATCAAACACATGAAGTGTGTGCATGAACCCCGTCAGTTTTGGTATGAAACACAACATATACAAATTTTTAGTAATTTGTTCGAACATTTTATTTAGCCCACCAAATATCAGAAATCCGCAACATCAAACTAATAAAGGAATTCTTACTTGGTTTCACTAAAAGGAAATTTGCTAATTTCCGTTTGTAATTCATTTTAACGAAATACAAATTACAAACCTACGTGAAGAAAGTTTACGAGCAATGTTTATCCAATTAAGTTTTTTCGACAGTGATTTATGCTTCTTAAAAGCTTTGTGCAAGTTTTGTGGTTAAAAGGACAAGTCTCGTTTAATTTAAATGCCATTGGAAATTTATATAAACGTACATATGCACATATGTATATTGTAAATGTATATGTACATACCCGTACATGTACGAACATTTACTTCTTATGTCTACCCAAAATCCGGAATGGAATAAATATTCTGCATACTTCTTAATTTATGAAATAACAAGCACAGCCAAGCGCAACTGTAACAAAAATGCAGTTCTTATTTAAAATTTATGTCTCAATTGCCCACGACAGCTAGCCAATTGGCAAAGGGAACGTAGCATACAGACATATAAAATATTTGCTATTAGAGGTAAGCGAAGAAAGAGAATATTGCACGTAAGAAGTTAAATTGTAACCTCACAAATTGTCTTTCACAACACAACTCAACTTTTTAGACAAGAAACGTGAAATCGTGAGGTGCTGGAAGCGAATCCCTGCCAGTCCTGCGAATTTGAGCGGAATGATGAACTTGTTTGCGCTAACGGTGACAGTGGTAACCGACGACTGTCTACGGTGTTGCTTTCGTTGGTGGCAAAACCTCATAAATTCCATAGTGCAGAGTGCAACATAAAAAACACGCACGCAAAGCATTTCCCAGCTATTTATGCTTATAATTTTTTTGGGGGAAATCAAACAATAAACATATGTATGTAAATATGTATGTACGGTATCTATGTATGTGTGCATTTCGTGGTGGTAAGAAATGACAAACAAAATTTGCGTGGAAAATCTTCAATGCCCATAATGTAGATATACATAAATAACTAGGCAAGGACTCATGAGCTTTGGTACAGATATTTTGTTTGCATGTAGAATACCGTGAAAAGTTTTTTATAGGGACTATTTTGATTTTGATTAAATTACATTCTTCTTTAACCAGAAGCTCTAATACAGCGAAATCGGAGGACATAATATTACAAACAAAATTTGGTAAAGTGTTAAATTACAGTGGAAAACTTCGAAAAGGCAATAATTTTGAAAAGGAAATAATTTGAATGGTCGCCTCGGATATTTTGATTTTTTCCATGAAAGTTTAGTCGAAAGATGAAGCTGAAAAAATAAATTTTTCCTGACATGGATTTTTTGAAGGAGGTTGAAAGAACAAGTACACAGTTCGATTAGATTACATAAGTTAAGAGAAATAGAATAAACATGTCGATCTACATAAGTTCGAACTAAACCATAAAATGTACCCTATTGTGGTCTTTTTCTGAGGATGGCCGTTATAACGGGTGATTTTTTTGAGGTTAGGATTTTCATGCATTAGTATTTGACAGATCACGTGGGATTTCAGACATGGTGTCAAAGAGAAAGATGCTCAGTATGCTTTGANACCCGTTACATTGGATTTCGAATTTTTTTTATGTCTTGCTTAATGAAGTAAGCGGTGATGTGTGTACTAATTCTGACAAGAACTCAACGTGACTCAAACGTGACTACAGCTTTTTTTGTCTTTGAAGGTGGAGTTGACCTGGCACATTCCAGTTTGTCGACAAATTTCGATACTCTGATGTACTATATAGCTAATTTAATGAATTTCAAAAACATTAAGATGCGATAACATAAAAAAGCGATAACTGGACCCATTTCGATAAATTTCGATAACTCAGAAATGTATTCTCGGTATCGATTGATGACTCGATAAGCTTTGGATACCTCTATAAATTTTGATAACTCGGTTAATTTTTAAAGCTCCATATTTTGAGAAAGCTATCGACGAATTTCGATAACTAGTAACATTTTTGTAACACGATAAAATTCACTAAGCAGCGAAAAAATGCTAAACTTATATGACCCTGAAATAACGATAACTCGATTATTTCTAAAATTCTAAAAACTTCGAATCGATAAATCGAAAAATTTCAGTAAATCAATAAATCTCGATAACTCAATAAGGTAAAATATTTCGATGCGTTACGCATTACGATAGCTTGATAAATTTCGATAACTTGATAAATATTATTAACTTGACCAATTTCGATAACTATTTCTATAAAAATTTGTATAACTCGATAACTATTCCTAAAGTTCGACAACAAATTTTCTGTGTCTATCAATTTCGGCAACTCAATAAACATTTATTAATTTGAATAATTCGATACGATAGCTTAATAAACATGCATAACTCAATAAATTTCGATAACTATAAACTTCGATGATTCGATAAATTTCGGTAACTCGATAACTTCCAATAGCTTAATTTTGTTCGACTCAATTTATTTCGATCCTATCGAAAAAAGTTCAATAAATGTCCTTGCCCTTTCAGTTACCATATTTCTTATGTACTTCTCATTGCTTTTATTTTCGCCTTTATCT